GGCCCCCCCCCCACCCACTCATCTCCTCATTCCCTGCTCATGTCGCAGTGTAACATCATGGGCTCCTCCTCCTACTTGGGGGGTCAAACCCGACCAGCCAAACCTTCAGAGGAGATTGTGCATTTGAGGTCCTGGACTGTAAACCGGCCCTCCTTGGAAAGCACCGCTAAGCGCTAAGCGCTAACGGCCGCCCTCGCAGGCCCGAGGCTTTGACCCGGGCAGATCTCCTCTCAGGCTGTGTGCTCGTTCCCCCAGGTTGAGAACTCCCTTCAGGAGGATGGAAGGCTGGAGCTCCAGTAGTGTGTTCTCTCAGAAGGGCCCCCCCCTAGCAGCTGCTCTCGTGGCCAGTCAGGATGTACAAGTTGCTCATGGCAGAGGGGTTCTCTGTGGGGGTACTCTGCAGGATGATGTCCCTGCAACCCGACACACCAAAGATAATCCGGTCAGGTACGGCTCCCTGTCAGCCACGCTGATGTCATAATAGCCAAAGATCAATGGAACTGCAAAAGGCCGCACAGTAGTATCAATGTTTACAGTGCAATTAAAGGTTATTTATAACTCAATCATGCAATAAGAGGTGCCACTGAAGTCCACATTCAGTATAAACTGCAACATACATATGGAAAAAAATGTGTCCAGTGACGAAAAACACCTATTAATTGTGCAGTAAACAGTGGCCAGAAAAAGCAGGGCTGTCCCTGTACCTGAGTACTTCCTGGGTGGCCTCACCTGCCTGGAAGTTACACAACTAAACAAACAGTATTCAAATGCTGTGGCTGAGAGTCACGTACCTGTTTGTCCCCAGGACCCGGAAAACGTGGCTCTCGTCCGTGATCTCCTGGGTTATCTGCGGGCACAAGCATGCAGTTTGCTGTTTCATTTTCAGATCCAGACAGACCCTAATGTACTAATATCCAGTCTGCTGTATCTGTGTATCTATTCAATACAGTGTTTCCCGACCCGGTCCTCGGGGAATCACAGACAGTCCATGTTTTTGCTCCCTCCCAACCCACGGTAGGGAACACTGTCTGGCAGGGAGCAAAAACCCCGTCCCCGAGGACCGGATTGGGAAACACTGATCTATTCCATTAACCATAAGGATCTGTTCTCGTACATCAGATCATCTGTATATTTAAATACATTAAACATCCATCCACACATCCATCCATCTTCCTAAACACTGATCCATTACACGGCTTTCGGCTTTCCTAGAAAGCACTGTGCTTAAGCCAGGGGACACCCAGCAGGGGGCGCCGGTCTATCGCGGGGCTCTCCCTCACCTCGTTGCTCTGTAGGCTCCTTCCTTGGAGGCCGTGCTTCCAGAAAGCCAGCACGCTGTCCTGCAGACACACTGCAGGCGAAAGCCACGTCACTCCCAGTGCCACAGTCCCATTCAGTGATCACGAATCTCACAGCATGATCGCACAGCTGAGCACGTGCTGTACAGCTATACAGGCCTTAAGCCCTGAATCTGTTTGCTGATGTTTACAATCGCAGTCACCGTCTTAAGACATGTACCTATTTCTGGGCCAAACCCCGGTCACGCTCTGACTGCAGATCCCCCCCCCCGACGCCACATACTCCATTTTCTGAAGCAGAAATATTTGGAAAGCAACCTTCGGTCCTCCCGATTTTGTTTGTTTATTCCGGCACGTTTTGTTACGCTGCGTTACGGACACGCTTGGGGATTTCAGCATAAATAGCACCTGCTCTTCAAACCGCCCCAAACCGGATATAAACATCAGGAAAGATTTTGTAAACATAAAATGATCAGCATGGATGCAGCATTAATCATGAGCGGAGATTCACGCTGTTCCGGCTGACGGGGGTGTGACTGTTTACACGCAGCTGTCCTGAAAGGTGTGTCTGGCTGGCGGCCTTCCGGACACAAACGGCGCCCCCCCCACCCTCACGGCCCCTTACCCAGGGTGTCGATGGAGAACTGAAACGTCAGCTCCGAGGTGAACTCCTCGCTCGGATTCCCCTGCAGGTTAACGATGCGCACCGTCTCTGCAGAGGACGAGAGGACCCATAAGGGACACGCCCTTCACAGCGCCAGCCTCCCTGCCCCATCCTGAGTCTCGGAATCAGGTTACTGAGGTCTCCTTAAAAAGACTCTGAATGAATGCTGGGTGGGGGGGGCAGTTTGCTATCCCTCTTCCCTCCATTTTCAGCCCAGCCCAGTCCAGTGCTGCTTCGTGTGAAAGTCTTCTTGCCGCAAAAAATGACATTATTTTTACAGTTAAATTGGCAGCAGAGGGAATGTTCACTAGCTGCTAGCCCAGGGGGTGTGTGGCTCAGCCCTGTGATCAGAAGGTCGCTGGTTCAAATCCCAGGCTGTCAGAGTGATCTCACCACTGGGCCCCTGAGCGAGGCCCCTAACCCCCAATCGCCCCTCAAAAAAGTATCCGCTACGTCTGGCGTGTGACACTCACTTTCCAGCGCGATGAGGACCGAGTCCCTGTCCAGCTGCGTCACCTGTGCTGCCCTCAGGGCGGCGCTCTCTGTTGAGACATGCAGGTGACTGATGTATCTGCGCCACCCAGCTGCCCGCTCCCCACCTCTGCCCCCCTCTGGCGGGTGTCTGCATTACCCAGCTGGACGCCGGCGTCTCTGTTCAGGTGCACGATGTGGAACTGCAGCGGCTCGCCGCCGCTTCCGGAATGTTCCTTCAGGCCCACACACAGCCAGGGAAGCTCATCTGTCTCCACCACCAGGAGCTCGAAGATGGGGAGGGACTCTGGGAGAGATACGGCAAGGTGCTGGGATGGAGAGAGAGAGAGAGAGAGAGAGAGCGAGGGAGACAAAGAAAGAGAGGAGGAGAGGGAGACAGTCTGTCGATCTGTCATATACTGACCTTAATCCCTAACCCAGGGGTGGCCAAACTTATCCGCAAAGGGCCGGTGTGTGTGCAGGTTTTTGGGATAACCTGTAGGGCAGCTGTTCAAACCCAGGTGTGAGGAAACTTCAGCCAATCAGTCCTCTAATTAGTAATTTAATTAGGGAGTTGCAGCGAACGGCCCTTTGTGGGTAAGATTGGCCACCCCTGCCCTAACCAATAATTACACACTATATAGCACAAAGGATGTGGTTTCATTTTTTCATTTGATAATTACAGGGGCAATTCTGTGACTTTTAAGATGCTCATCATAAGAGGGGCTGTTATTCATACACAGGGGCTGACCTCATTATTAGCCAATGACGTGTTTTGAGTGGGTGAGTGATTGGGATGGGGCACTCGGTGTGCCAATCAGATTTTGGCTGGGGCCTCTGTGGCCCCGCCCCTGCATACGCCACTGGATAATTATGTTCCTGTTATTATACCCACAGCTGAGCAGCCCTCAGCTTCATCCTGTACGCCTGAGTATCTCTATTTTCGGGATCTCACTATCGCCGTGAGCAGAGCGAGATGCAGGGAGGGCGAAGAGCAGCAGATGGGCGTGAGACTCACCTTCAGCTGCATGAACTTCTGCAGAGGTTCATACCACAGCAGCAGGACCAGGCCAGAGGGCAGCGCCCCGCACAGGAAGGTGCTCTCCGTGTAGGGGTGACGCACTGGTACAGGGAGACACCGCCCGCCGGCGTTTAGGGGCGGCCCAGCTATAAACAAAGCACACCCCAGGAACCCAGGCACCAAACGCAGAGAGCTCACCCACGCTGCACCTCCGACAGCCTTTGGTGTCCGGGATCTTCACGGAGACGGCGAACTTCCTGTCAGCGTAAGATTAACAGAATCTACATACCATCCATCCACTGCCAGGCATCTACTGCTCATCCAAAACAGCATCACAGTGAACTTAGTCCCTCCCTCAGGAAGCACAGGGCACCAATCAGGGGACACCCGGGACTGCAAGTCACCCAATCACAGGGCACATTCCTGTACACATAATCAATCCGTATGGGGAGACACTAGAGTGCGCCTAGGAAAGCCAAACAAACAGAGCGAGAACATGCAAAACCCACGCAGGAAGGGGGGAGTCTGACCCACGGTACCGGAGCTGGCGCTTCCCACAGATCCAGGCCGGAAACCTGCGTCATCATAACGCTCTGTGTTATCGCCTTCACAAGCGCACAGCATTCTGGGTACTGTCTGCGCAGCCGGCACTAAGGCTGAATATTGTAAATATCCTTTCCACACTAAGCAGCAGTATTTATAATACGGTTTGACTTGTTTGTATGACCACTGAGATACACTTGTTTAAAAGGCTCAGGCTGTCTCTCGCATGCTGGGGGGTGGGCTATCCCCCTCCCCCCCACCAGGGGGAAGACGGCCACATCCCACGTATCTGCTCTAATGGAGAGGAAATGGATGACAAGAGCAGGTCACGGGTCAGTGTACATGCTCCGAAAACACAGGAAGACAGAGGTGACGAGGGCACGGCCGCGCCTGATGGGAGACAGCTGGGCTCTTCTCAAACCTAATCTCCCAGCTGCACTCCACAACAGCTCTGTGGCGCCACCTAGCCACCTAGCCTTTGTAGTGCATCTGAGGCCAGGCAAGACTATCATCATGACTATTTATAACAAAGCGTAACTTGTGAAAATGACACACAGACAGGGAGACGGCGCCCCCACCTGGCGTGAATCCTCTGCGACAGCCGGTTGGTGCTGATGGACAGGTGACCCTGCCGCTTCTGCTGGTTGGTTCGGTTCTCGAACAGCACGGTCAGGCTGTGGGAGTAGAGCTGGGAGGACTTCCCTAAGGTCACATGGGGAGACAGCCAGCTTAGCCCCGCCCACCAGGGACGAGTCGACCCCCCCCAGGGAGGCAGGACCTACCTGAGACGGACATGAGGACGCTGTTCATCACATACAGCCAAGTACACCTCTGCGGGAGTAACTGAAAGGGGGAGGGAAAGACAGGAAGTGAAAGGGGGTTAGCAAACAGAGACAGGAAGCTGCAGTGACGGCTGTGAAGAAAGCTAACGATCGCTATCAGCAAAGTACAGGGGGGGCACTAAGGTTGGCAACATACTCCAAAGCCCCCCCCCCCGCCCCAGCCGTGATTCGGTAGCCTGTCAGAGAAGGTTAGGAGCCTCATGCCTGACAATATCATCACCCACCCACCCATCCATCCACCCACCCACCATGCTGCATGACCCTCCCCAGTCAGCATCCTGCATAAGCACTTCCTGTGTACCTGGGCCACCCCCCCAGCACGGTACCTTCTCCAAGGTGTCCTCGTGGAGCTCATTCAGGTTCAGGGTGTAGATGCCCTCCTCCGCTCCCAGGATGAGATACTGATCTGGGGTTGATTCAGATCAGGTAGGTCAGTGCTGGGTTCGCCTGGGGACCCAGAGCCCCTTACAAACGGGGTCACGTGTCCTTACCCCGCGTCTTGGGCAGAACCCAGGTAGCTGCGCAGTGGATCTTCAGAGGGCAGCCATTAAACACCTTAGAGAAACATGCTCCCATCTGAAACACATAGCAGGCCGCCTTTTATACCCATAAGCATTTTTTTCTTTATACGTTTTTTTTTTTTTTGGTTTTAATTTTATTTACGAAATGCTAATATTTAGCATCAGAATTTGTTGACAGCCCCGCCATCCGTTACTGGCAGGCAGTGGGGTTGGTGTCGGTCGCTTACATGCACCTTGGGAGTCGGCGGCAGTCCGTGGCAGACGGCTCGCTGAAACGACGGTAAATGGAGTCACACAGCGTCCACGCGCCATTATCACGAAAGAGTAACCGTACAAGGGGTGCAGCACTCACAGACTCCTCAGGTTTTCTTCGCAGTGTGCTCCACTCTGCAGAGAGGGACTGCCGGGAGGGGGAAAGGCTCCCGTCTAGTCCCGTCTCCTCGCATTTGGCGCCCCCTGCTGGGAAACATGCACAACAGCCGTGTTGACACTGCATAAATTATTAAACCTGGCATCTCGCACGTCACGTGACCTGGCTGCTTGCCTTTAATGTTTACAGTAATTGTTCTGCACTTACAGACTTTGTTTTCTACAGCTAGGTATTTTACTGTCCCAACTTCCCGTTCAAAGGTATAACAGTAGTTTCCTCGTCTCCATAGCAACTGTATCATCTGAGGCTCCAATCAGCTCCCTGTCTCCCCACCCCCCACCAACCAGCCGATAACCCAAGAAATATAATTACGCAAGCTGTCGGTGATGGAGTCGGGGAGGGCGGAGTCGAGGCAGAGGGCGGAGTTACTCCAGAATCCATCCACGTCCATGTCCTCCAGGCCAGGACATGAAGACTTAAGGGTGGACAAGGGGGAGGGTCTGGACTCTGAGGAGGGGCTGAGAGCGGGACACCTCCGAACCGTCCCGCATTTGTCAGCCTCCTCGGTACTCTGCAGCCGGGGGGGGGGGGGGGGGGGGGGTGTCAAGCTTTCTATACTCTGAACACAGCTGTCAGGTATTTCTTAATTACTGTCACATGCACAATACAGATGGGCCGTGTTTTATTTTTATTAATACTGCAGCAATATGTCCTATAAACTGCCATAAATTCAGGATATATGATTAGATTTGGTCCTGTTACAGTGTGGGATGGATAAGGTTTATAACGCAGTGCTGACATCACGGTGACTCTCCGTGTAGGGGTGACGCACTGGTACAGGAGACACTGTAATCCCATCTTACCTCAGCAGACGGCGATCGCTTTATGGTTAGACTCCTACAACAAAGTGTGTAAAATCTGCTCAGTCCATGATCCTGATCTGAAGCTTAAATCAGCAGCTAAGAGCTGGTAGTTAAACAGGTAAAAGGTCAGACAAGACCAGCTGAGTGTAACCATGACGACCCCTCACCTCTCCAGCAAAGCCTCCTCCACACATTCCAGCAGGCTCCTGTAAGAGGACCACACCGGCTCCCATCAACACCACACCTTCCAGTCCAGCAACACCCTTCATTTAAGAGACCCTCTTACCCCTCTGGAGCCCAGCTAAACAGCACTGGGTACCAGATCATCGGCCAAAAACACATCCGCACTTAGAGTCTGTTCAAAGAACATGCATTAGGTAACAGATAGATCTGTCTTTGGGCTTTTAAAGACATCATTAAGCTAGTGTCACCCCTGTAAGCATATCAGGGTGTACAGAGTTCTCTTACGGAGAGTTCTTCTCATCTGGTGAGATGCTCCAGTCATCGTAGGAGCCCTAGGAAAGCAAACAGAAATCATTAAAGCGCATTAACAGCACACAGAAAGTCATTGTCATTTTCAGATTCACTGTCAATTCATGCCCATAGAGCACGTACAATGGGGGCAATGAACAAATGCACACATGGCACTTTTCACAAATTGCTGTGTTCTCCATCTGTTCCTTGCAGTCCAATGGGGACATGTTTGACCTCATCAGGAACCTTGCCATCTTTAGTGGGGACTTGTTTGACCTCATCAGGAACCTTGCCATCTTTAGAGTGGACACGTTTGACCTCAGAGGCAGGTGCAGGAGTCCTCACACTCACCAGGTCAGGACAGGGGTCAGTCTCCTTCCTCATGGGGGGGGTGAACTTCACCTGTTCAACTGAAAGAGTGCAACAGGACTTACAACCAGGGCAGTGACACTTAACCGGCAGAGCAGATGATGTTGATGAAGACTACGTGTTACATCGTGACAGACGCTCTGCCTGACAGTGAGTAATTCTTCAGCCCAACCTGAATGGTGCCCTGATGACTCTCTCACTTCCTTCCTGTCAGGCTGACATGTGGGTTACACCTTAAGGCCACAGACAGAAACTGAAACCAGCTCCTAGCTGTAGCCTTTAAAAGGTTCTGCTGGCATTTAGACAGCCATCACCTTAATTACTTGAGGTCTCACTCTCCTAAACGTTTTACATTAGTGCCTAAAGTAACACCATTATTACGACAGTATTTCATATCTATTACCATCCAATAAAGTGCTGTTTCAGGAAAAAAGCTGCCTTTTGTCACTGTGATAAATTATGTTATTGGCTCTGTTTATAGATTTTAGTTCATTTCTGGCATAACTTTCTTTTATCATGTTATTGCAGGTGATTGTTTATGGAACCAGTTTTTACATTATCGTCACAGTCCAGAAGACACACCTCCTGTCATTTACGGTCTCGACACTCTCGGGCTCCAGTCTGACGCCCCACCCCTCAGTCTGAGGCCTCGACCTTCTCAGGCGTCTCTCCCAGGGAACAGAACCCACTGTGTGCTGCAGAGGAACGCCCCCCCCCCCGGCTGTGCTTTCATCGCTCCAGAGAGGCTGCTTTGTCAGGACGTGCCTCACATACCCCCCCACGGTTACTCCCATGTCGTGAGCCCTGACAATAGGCCTTCAGAGCCCATCCCATCCCAGTGTCCCCCCCCCGGCCCCGTCCAAAATGGAGGGCAGGGCTAGGGCAGCCGCCGTGCACGCAGACTGCCCCCCACCACCCTGATCTGTAAACTCCAGACACTGTAGTTTATGAAAATTACAGAATGTTACAGAAAGAAAAATATTCTGAGAGGTCAGCACCAGCAAACATACCTCGTTCAGGGCTGATTTTATCGTGTGCTGCCCTCTCATCTTGCAAAGAGTAAATGGACCCACTGAAGCTGCCTGCAAGCTTTAAATACTGAGCCCCAGCCACACGATTCAGTGATTGCATTAGCAAGCAGGTGTCCCTATTAAACCCGTGAGTCACAGGAATCCTTGAATACTGTCTGGCCGCTTAAGAAAGAGAAGCTCTTTTGCAGAAGGCAGGACCCACGGCATGCAGGGCAGGCGAGACTCACACTGCTCCTCAGATACGGTGCGCTGTATGAAGGGCTGTCTGCTCAGGGACGGGATCTTATCGGGGAAGGCATCACAGGTCTGCAGGGAGACAGAGACACCCCTCAGTGATGATGCTCACTCTGCGACAGACCCAGGGAGCGACCTGAAGCAGGTCTTTAAGAGACCGTCCTCTGAGGATCTGCACATTTAGGGGGTGAGCAGGCGGCAGCCCAGGGTGGAGCGTTACCTCCAGGTCGCTCTCGTCCAGACCGTGAGAGGGGTGGAGGTCGGGGTTGCCGGCCATGTCCAGTAGCTCAATGGCCAGCGTGCGCGTCAACAGCTGCGTCATGAAGGGGTGCTATAAAGCCAAAAAGACACCAAGATGAGGCCTCTCTGTACAGCTCTGCAAACCCTCCGCTACGTGAGGCTGTAATCAGAGAGGGGCCTTTTAACCCAGGCAATGCAGGAAGTCGCAGCACCGAAAAAGCTGTCAGGAAATGTCACACACTCAGGGAATGTCACACACTCAGGGAATGTCACACACTCAGGGAATGCTCAAAGCAACAGCATCTACAGCAAGGGTTAGAGCTAATCTGTGCAGGGGGCAGAGCGACCCCCCCAAACACACAGAGGACACGCCAGGGGTGCGGGATTAGAGATGGGGAGGAGTGGGTGGGTTAGACCTGGGGGGTGGGGGGGTATGAATCGCGGACACACCTGCAGTAGCTTCTCGGCTGTGGGCCTCTTACGGGGATTCTTGGTGAGAGACGCTTTGACGAAACTGTGGAAGTCAGACGACCTTGGGAGGAGGAGGCAGGCAGGGGTGTGGGGGGGGAGCACAGACGGGTCAGTCTGAGGACAGGCCAGCCCCCTCCGCTGCCCCCCCCCCCCCACACAGATCTTACCACTTGGACTTCTCTTTAAGCTTGGGGGGCTGGAAGCTGCTTTTGGACATCAGCATCAGGGCCCTGGGACAGAACCGGCAGGTCAGCTCAGCTGCGGGCCCGTGGCGGTACTGACCCGACCGAGCGCCGGGGCCTCACCTCATGGGGTGCAGGTCAAACATGGGCGGCTGCAGCTCCGCCAGCTCGATGCCGGTGATGCCCACCGCCCAGATGTCACACAGCTGGTTGTATCCGCCTTTCTTCTCCACGGCGGCCACTTCTGGCGCCATCCTGTAAGTGCAACTCGCCACAGTCATTAGCATATTCATCCTGGTGCATTGTGGGGAAATGTTCAATGCTGGATACCAAAAGCACATACCAGTAAGGCGTCCCGATAAAAGACTTCCGCTTGGCCACCGAGGCATTGATCTCAGCCGCCACCCCGAAATCCGCTGGGAGAGGAGGAGGATTGTATGGATGAGTTTTCGTATAATGATCATATTACCTCACTGACGCCACCTAGTGTACAGTTTATATTCTATTCATTACACATTCTCACTGTAAATTTAGACTGCGTCGGGGAGTTCAATGCTCCCATTTTTCAGAATTATCAGTGACGTAAGTCACAGTTTCAAGGTGAATGATGTTGCTTTGTGTGTGTATGTTACCACACCTCATATGAGCCTATTACTATCCGTGTGATATGGGCTGCAGGTTTGGACTGACCCAGTTTGACATCTCCCCGCTCAGTCAGAAGGATGTTGGCTCCCTGCAGGCAGCGGACAAAGACTAAATGAGATCGTGGCCAAAAGAAAACAGAGAGGGCCTCAAAGACTCAAAGACACCTCCACGGTCATCAATAAGACAGTGTAATGACGCAGAGCTGCCAGAGTGAGGCGCAGGTCCCCGCGCGCCTCCCCCCCGGGGCCCTACACACATTCCCAGATACCTCTAATCTCAATAACAGCGCTGGTGATAAATGCTCATTACACAGAGTAGCTCCTTCGATTCTGTTGCTATGGCTACAGCTGCAAGACCGTGACATGCAGTCTTGAGGGATGTTACTGCCCGAGACTAAGCACCATGTGCTACGCCACCCTCCGGCTCCATACCTTAATGTCTCTGTGCATCTTGCCTGCTTTGTGCAGGTGGTTCAGGCCCTGTGAGAGAGACAGAGTCAGAGTGGCCGCACAGCTACAGGGGACCCCTTAAGAAGGCAGCTAGCAGGTTAACGCTGAACACTGGACAAAGCCGCGCGGCGTTGGCGTGACCGATCGAAACGACACATGGAGCGAGGACAATGCAGGCCTGCCCTCCCACAGTCACATACCTGGAGAGTTTCCCGGCAGACGAAGGCTATCTGCCTCTCCTTCAGCGGGCCTGTAACTGCGAGAACATCGATTTAGGTCATGGTGACAGCGTCCCCATTCTTTAGCAACATCAGCCTGTGATCTTGCCCAAGGAAACAGAACAGATATTTTAATGGCTACATAGCGAACTATTAATAGGCAGCTTAAAGGCAGATGAGGCCGGCATTGTCATTAGCCCATCGACGGCTAAGACGTACCAATCAGCTGTAGGTGTCAAACAGAAGCTAAGGACAGAGTTTTCCTAGAGTTTTCGGCTGCAATGAGCAAACGCTACAGGCAGAGTGGCAAACCGGGGAGCGGTGCCATGGCAGGCCGGGGAGCGGTGCCATGGCAGGCCGGGGAGCGGTGCCATGGCAGGCCGGGGAGCGGTGCCATGGCTCTTGTGGTCTGTAGTGCTTTCTTTGCACTTGTGAAAACACTAAAAACTGCTCCTGCTCTTTGTTAGCACCAAGCTTGAGAGTAGGATCATTCCCAAGCAAAAACAGCTATATTAGAGTGTTCAAGAATGCACACAGCATATTTTTTGCACAAGTTACATGATCAATCTAGACTTTCAAATCTATCGTCGTTTGGTTAATTACATTTAATTTCTTTATTTATCGGATGCTTTTATCCAAAGCAACATAGATATTTATTGAGAAGCCAGGGTCAGACGGTGCCCGGGGTCAGACGGTGCCCGGGGTCAGACGGTGCCCGGGGTCAGACGGTGCCCGGGGTCAGACGGTGCCCGGGGTCAGACGGTGCCCGGGGGCAGACGGTGCCCGGGGGCAGACGGTGCCCGGGGTTAGGGGCCTTTGCGCAGGGGCCCACTTTGGAATCACTGCCAATGCTGGGATTTAAACCAGCAGCCATCTGATCACAAGCGCATCATCCAAACCCGCTGAGCCACTCACAGCGGGGGGGCAGTAACTGAGAAGAAGGCTCAGATGACTGAAGATATTCATACTAATTAGTCACACCTGTTCTGTTGTGCTTTTGGTAAAATGGGTGTGTAATCACATCCCCGAAACAGCATTTTCATGTTTGCTCCCGCCCTCCCCCAGTCCAGATCCTCCACCTTTGGGCCTGAGTTTGCCCCACATGGTCTCCACCCGCGGCTCAGTCACCATAACCTTAAACAGGAAACGGGAGATCTGTCCTAATGGACCTGATGGGGCACCAGCAGCTTCCTGTACCGCATGGTTCTGCTCGCCTGCCGTGGGATCACACCTCACTGTATGTCCCAGTGAAGCACGTACAGTGACACTGGACACCTAGGGTGCACGGCACAGGATCGAGGGTGGGGTACTTACTGTGGTAGATGTCTTGCAGAGACCCCCCGCCACAGTACTCCATGCATATCCACAGCTTGTTATTCCTGAAAACGAAGGAGATGTCGCAGCTTTCACACGCACGCTTTTATCTGGTATTTTCAGCAGCAGCTTCTGTCCAAAAGAGCAAAGCCTCATGTCGGACAGCAGGGGGAGCCAGTGTCTTGTGCCCCTGGAGCTGTTCAGGGCATAATCACTCAGTTACTCTGCAGGCCGTGGGATTTCAGAAGGCACACCTGAGGTAGCTGCCGTGGTACGCCACAATGTTCTTGTGCGCACACTCCTTGATCATAGTGATCTCCTGCTGGATGGACGAGATGTCATCGCCTGAAAGATCAGGGCGAACGTGTTATGGACCATACAGGAAAGGCAGGTTGCATCTATAGTATGGGGAAAAGCCGTATACCGTCAACAAAACGCCCCCTCAAAAAAGAGGCCTTGGGGGCAGTTTATCACAGGAATTACGGTTTTAGACAGAAAAGCACCCGAATGCCCAGGCAGACAGATTTCTGTGTCCTACCTGGGTCTAGCTTGACGATTTTGACAGCTGCGATCACTGATGTCTTGATGTTTCGTGCCTAAAGAAAGTCAATGACAACCAAAGATTTATGAGGAACGCCGACTTAGAGCAGCGCTGCATCAAAGAATCAGGAACCATAATTAGTTTGTGGTCGAGGACACAAGCTGTCCCTCCCTAACCCAAAGCAGGCACACATCCCGGTACGGTACTGCTGTACCCTTATGTTGAAAATGAGCCTTACACATGCATATATATGTGTACGGCATATATATACATGTGTAAGGCTCACGGTATTTACACATGTATATACACTTAGTCACTGCAGCCCTGTACTGGATACATTCATGGAAGTTACGCATGGATGCACTTATTTAACACTCAAGGATTCCCTGACTGTCACTTAGCATTAAGACTCATGATCATGCTGTGAACAGCAGCAACAACTGCATTGACAAGCCATTTTTATCTTCGAATATTTATTTAAACGTAACGCTTTACATTATCTGCACCTTCATAATGCATTCATAGAACATTCATAAGCAGAGTGTAAGTATACCATAACATACTAACAGACCTTAACAGCTTTAATACACATTAATAACAAACATTACATGATTATACATACATGCTGATTAAGAATGTTCTATGAGTGCATTATGAAGATTCACTGAATGTTCTATGAATGCATTATGAAGGCGCATTGAATGTTCTATGAATGCATTATGAAGGCACACTGAATGTTCTATGAACGCATTACGAAGGCATTATGAAGGTGCAGTTAATGTAAAGCATTTAAATATTTACTTTATTTTTTGCTGTCAGGTAAGCGATCTACTGAGGTATGTGGTTCATTATGTGACCAACACTGCGGTTACATCGTAAAGGTCCTCGACCGAGTATCATTTCAGGAAGAGGTTGAAGGTGTAAAAGGTCTCAGGAGGCTTCAGACCGTGAAACCTCAGTGTTGTCACTCTAAACTGTGATGCATGAAATTCAAACAGGACTCCAATGCCAATGCAGGGCTGGCGGTCAGATAGCAGGAAGTCATACAGAATCACAGGATGATGTACGGAGATGGCATATCTCGGTGAGACCTTCATATCCGCTATTTCCCACACCCTCAAAGTGCAGTCGGCAGACATCACACCTCAGAGGGTCACCACCCTCACATCTGGTCAGTGCTGAACCGGCCAAAGGGGCGGGTGATGTCCTGGCTGAACTCAGGCTCCAAAGTAATAATAATAATAATATAACAATAATGTTACACTTATACGGCGTCATGATGAAGCCCTTGGTGGGTAATGGCGACCCGGTACGAAGGAAGCAAGGCTGTTCTATGCGGAACAGAATCCTCACCGTAAGGAGAACGCAGGCAGAGACTGGGATCACAGGCTGCTTCAAGAGGAAGAGACTCTTGGTTTTATTTAGGGCAGCGCAGACCGAGATACAGTCCGCATTTTAAGCAAAGCAGGATTAAAACTAAGTTAACGGAGAATTCAGACTCAGACCGATTAAGATTTTTTAAGCAAAACAAAACGAGTATTTTTTTTAAGGAGAATACAAACAGGCCAATTACCTACAGTAAGTCTTTTTATAAAGGACAATATCATAGCTTATATTAAGGAGACTACAGACATACTGTATATATTGCCTAAAACTTTTTTTAAGCTAAAGAGAATGATGACTGACTTTAAAGAGAATTCAGACTCAAGCAAAACAGAATCATTATTTATATTATGGAAAGTGCATACTGACACCAATTACCTCAGACTTTTTAAGCTGAACATGATGCTGATTTATATTTCTGAGAATGCAAACTGAGGCCAGTCATGGAGGCTGGCTGCAGCCAGGGCGTGACAGAGCCTCTCAGGTAATGTGACAGGAGAGTGGCGAGGCGCGTTAATGAGAGCCAAGGGCGACTCCGCCGCGAGCGCAGAGCCGTCACGTGCGTACGCTGGCGAAGGAGCTCGCCTTCGCCCCATTCTCACGCTGTGGCTACAGGAGATGAATCACTGGCGCGGCTGCAAATAGAATTCGGCCCCTGGGCTTGGACTGGGCCGGACTAACCAGTCACACCATTCACAATAAAGTATGCTCATCCTGAAGCCTCGATTTCTGGAACGGTATAGCTAGCTAATGTTGCTGCAATTTTGTAAACAAAAAAATATATACGTTTATATGTTTAAGCGAATAAAACATTATTTAAAAGTTAAATCCAATCATGTGGTTTTATATAAAGGAGGGAATACAACACAAAGGGGGATTTTTTTAATACTGGTGATTCCAAGAAACCAAAGGCCACTATTGAACTGTAAGCCATTCTCCAGTTGTCATGGTAACAGATGCAGCCAATAGTAGAACATTCTCCAGAAAAAAAAGCTAAACCACAAAAAAAGTGAAATCTGCCCTCACTCACTTCCTGTTTTCTTTCCTGTTAAGGTCAAAGACAGAGTAATGTGGAGTTTCTCTCGAACATGAAAGGAACCGGTGACTAGCTGCAGAAGACAGAACTCGGGACAATGTGAAATGAGCAGGAAACTTTCGATATCTGCAAACTCCAACAATGCCTGTCTGTGCTGTATGAAAAATGGAGAAATGAGACAAAGAAAGGTGACAGATTTCGGTGCGAGTTTACAGTAAATTTCACAGCTGCCATGCCGAGGTCCTCCGCACGGCCGTCACAGAGCTCACTTGGCAACAACCCCGTCACATGGAGATTAAATAGTGTCCTTCCTTGCTCTGCGTCCTTCAGCGCCCTGGACCGTTAAAAAGGCAGGACTGCCACAGAGAGACGACAACGCCCATTTTATTTAATATCGCCACTCAACATCACGCGTACGAGTACCGCTTCCTGTGAAAACAGAGGACAGAGACCCGCCAACTCACTCCGCAGTGCTGTGCGTCTATCAGGCTGCAGTTTACGTTTTACATGCTGAATTCTCTTTAGTCACATCCACACAAAACAAAGAGTTATTCCACACACACACACGTATTTTTGAGGGGATTTTCCATTCATTTATATGGGCATAACCCTAATCCCAACAATGGCGACCATAACCCCTACCCTGCCCTAACCTTAACCATATGTAACCAAACAAAATACAAGACTTTTGGAATTTTTTGTTTGTTTTTATTGCATTCACAGATTTTTATAAAATTGAGGTTATCCTTGTGGGGACCAGAAAAAAGTCCCCACAAGAAAAAAAAGTTACAGATTTGTATTACATTGTGGGGATATTTGGTCCCGGGGTCCCGCGGCCTTAACAGTGATCATCATATTAAATTATTGCTAGATAGCTGTCTAACTAAGTGTTTCATCCAGAGTAACCTATATTTTCACATATTTATAGAGCAGCAGTACGTCGACCAACAGCTGTACCTGTATCGTCATGTTACTTAATTGGAGGCTGACTACTGAGAATTCTATAAGAGATGCAGACACCAAACGGGAAAAAAAGCATGCTGCGAGACTTTTAATGTTGTCCCTGGCTTTGATAAATATCGTGACAAGTGTGCAGGAACCGCAGAAACGCTTATGAGCGCAGAGCCGGCACGCTGTGTACCTGACGTTAGTCAGAAAGTGAAGGCGGAGCTGCTTTGGAAATAAATACACCGCACCGATAAGTTTACATCTGAAATTCTTACCTCTTTTTGTACTTCATAAAATTGTAATTAACTGCAATTTTACACTATTTACACTATTTACTTCATACAATGGGCCGTATCAACGCAATCAATGGGAAACAAACTTTCAGCACAATAAACAGTATTCTCCTTATGTGCACACAACCGTACAAATAGTCACATATATCTATACAAACATTCAAAATGTTGTACGACTGCTAAAAATAGATTTTTCGAACAAAATTTAACTGAAATGTAGTAACATATTTATATATGAATAGAAAACAATCGGCGTAAAACTGACCAGTAAAAGCGGTTAGAAGATTGATAGATAGAGGGATGGAAGGGTAGATGGATAATGAAATATAGCACATGGAACACAAACAGGATAACTTGCTGTGCAACTGTAGAGTTATTAGGCACAGCGGTGGTGACATGAGTCACTTGGCCATTGTTAGAAAAGCCGACTAGAAACAGCGTGTCGATACTCATACAAGGCATTTAAAAGCGACCTCTGACAGCGTTTGTCTGCGGGATTCCTAGAGATCAGTCATGCAAGCCGAGCCAAAACGATGCCCAAAACGATGCCTGACCATACATCGATTTAAAGCTGCTTAAATCTAAATAAGCACCAGCCATAAACCGAAAGCGGTGCTCAGATTCGGCCCCGAGCATCGGCTCGAGCCAGCAATTAAGGGCGCGCGACGAGCGCCTTACCTTAAAAACGTCGCCGTAGGTGCCGCTGCCGATGCGCTGCACCAGCTCGTACTCATCCAGGGGGTTGCTGAAGGAGACGCCGATCGCCTCCATGGCAGCCCGCTCCCCGTCTGACATCCAACTGCTCACGGCACCCTGCGATCCTCATCTACCAAATACGGGCACTTCCCCAGCAGCCCAGCCAAAGTGCCCTCGAAGATGGCAGCCGCAGAGGAAACGGTTTCATTTATTTATTTTATTTTTTTTTACTTTGCTACGCCAGCACTAACATGCATCGATCATTAATCGCTTTCGTTACTATTTTGTTAAAAATCATGCACCGATAAAAGAACAGACGTTCAGCGACGAGCAGGAGCTAATGTGACAGCTAGCGCTCCAAATAATATGACACGGCGAGTGTTTTCACGGAAAGACGGCGCAGTGTCTGCATACACAATCATGCGCTCATCAGAAGCAGGAAATCTGCTCGCGGAGCTGTCATGCATTTGGCAGATTGCAGTAATGACGGCGTCATTATCGGGATATAAACATAAGATCAGCAATAAATATGCCGATAATGATTCAGATTTTCCTCAAAATGTTCAGGGAAATTGCCTACCATTTATCTAATTAAATAATTCCTTTTATAGCATTTTATACTATTCTCGAAAAAAAAAATTAAGAATAGTGTTTTTAATAGACAAAATTACTGGCACCCCTAAAGATTTTTTTTTATAAATAAACAAAAAAAATGCATTCTTTGTGAGAAATATTTATTGCTCGTGCTGTCCAGCAACTCCTTTGTCGTCTATGAGGATTTCCTGTTTCCATGGGGTAATAATATGGAGTTACACACGAGTAAAATCATGTCATCATTCGTCAGTGTGGTTCAGTGCAAAAAGCTTTCGTGTACATCATCGTCATGTTCGGCAGAACAGAAAGAGAAACACCTGATACCCAATGTGAAATATGATTGGTGACTGCTAATGCTTTGGGGCTGTTCTGAGTCGAGGGAACTTGTGAAGATTAATGCCAGATTGAATTCCAATAAATGTGAAGAAATTTTGGCCCGAAACTTAGCTGCCTCTGCCAGAAGGTTGAGACCTATCTGTGGATGGAGCTTTCAGCAAGATAAATGACCCCGGACACACATCAAAATCAACAGAGGAATGGGATGGAGAATGCAAAATGAAAGCTTTGCAATGGCCATCTCAATCTCCAGATCTGAACCCAATTGAGACTGTGCTTATATAAGATAAATATGCATGTGTGTGTGTACACATTTATGTGTGTGTATATACAAAAAAAGTGTATAACTAAAGTGTTTTAGCTCCTTTATCGAATGACCCAGCCAGTTGATGTTCTGGGCCAGTTCTCTGCATTATCCAGTCTCGGTTCTTGCGTACCTGAATACTCTCCCTTAGGTTACAGCATCGCATTTTGAGTGTTTGAAGGTGTCGAGGTCGGGTGACGCAGCTTCCCCAAACTTCACCCCGAGGATCTCTATCCCCCCTGCGGACCCCCAGCACCTCCCCCCGGGGATCTCTATCCCCCCTGCGGACCCCCAGCACCTCCCCCCGGGGATCTCTATCCCCCCTGCGGACCCCCAGCACCTCCCCCCGGGGATCTCTATCACCCCTGTCTGAGCATTACCTAGGGAGCCCTTGCCCTATGGAGAGTGCCCTATGGAGAGTGCCCTTTGGAGAGTGTCCTATGGAGAGTGTCCTATGGAGAGTGCCCTATGGAGAGTGCCCTTTGGAGAGTGCCCTATGGAGCGTGCCCTTTGGAGAGTGTCCTATGGAGAGTGCCCTTTGGAGAGTGTCCTATGGAGAGTGCCCTATGGAGTGTGCCCTATGAAGAGTGCCCTTTGGAGAGTGTCCTATGGAGAGTGCCCTATGGAGTGTGCCCTTTGGAGAGTGCCCTTTGGAGAGTGTCCATTGGAGAGTGCCCCCTCCTAGTAAGAACAGTAAGGATGCCCAATCTGCTCCATTTCTAAACTATCTGCCTGCCTATGGACTAACAGAGTCCTAAGTCTTCAGCGATTCTTTTGTAATACTTTCCAGTCTTATGAGTTTCAACATCCCTTCTGAAGTCACTCTTGATTGGGGTGTGTTGCATTTCCACATTTGAACAGCGCACTGTACTGAAGAGGAGGCAATCGAAAGCTGATATACAGGGGCGCTGCAAAAGAGGAAGTGGTAAATTATAAAAAAAAATCTCATTAGATTAGATCAGATTAGATGAGATTCAACTTTTCTGTCATTGTACAGGTGCAATAAAATGCAATTTAGCATCTATCAGGAAAGTGCAAATGGTAGAGTAAGGTGCAATAGACAGTTTGGTGCAAGTAGCACATTAAAGTGCAATACAATTATTTATACAAATAAAAGGTTTCACCCTTCGGTGTCTAATTAAAATTGAGCTACAAGCAAACAGGCAGGAAGAAGAAGTGCTAATTTTAGGACTGTAGAGCGTGATAAACGGTGCTTTGGCCATTGGCCTGGAGAAGGTCTGCATGATACTCCAAGGAAAATGCATCATTACCAGAGCTCAGTTTCCAGGTGTGTATCTGCACGACTACTGCAGCAGCCGTGCTGTGCTTTATGTTTCCTTGAAGAGTCAAGTTTTGTGCAAAAGGTTGTTGGATCCATACCTGCTCTAACCGGGAAGTGCGTGAATTTTAAACATCCACTGATGACCTGTAATGCGGCTGGTGCTGAGGTACCCGGGAGTCTGTTCAGCAAAGCATAAGAGCAGGTAAAGGTGGAGGGCATGCACACACACACACACGCGCACGTGCAGACACGTGCACACACACACGCACACATATGTGCACACACACACACGGGCACATACATATGCAAACACACACATGTGCGCGCACACACGGGCACACACACATATGCGCACACAAGGACTCACACAGACATGCGCATGCATACATGGACGCATGCATACAAACACGTGGACACACACACGCACGTACACATACATACAGACATGTGCGCACACAGCCCACACACAGCCTACACACAGGCTACACACAGCCCCCACACAGCCCACACACAGGCTACACACAGCCTACACACAGCCCACACACAGGCTACACACAGCCCATACACAGCCTACACACAGTCCACACACAGCCAACACACAGCCCCCACACAGCCTACACACAGCCCGTACACAGCCTACACACAGCCCCCACACAGCCCACACACAGCCCCCACACAGCCCGTTCACAGCCTACACACAGCCCCCACACTGCCCATACACAGCCTACACACAGCCCGTACACAGCCTACACACAGCCCCCACACTGCCCAGACACAGCCAACACACAGCCCGTACACAGCCT